AAACGCGCTGTCCCTTCTACACGCGATACGGATTTACAGATATTTTTAATTGATGTCAATAATTGTGCAGAGTTTAAAACATTTACGAACTATTCACTCAAACCATAACTGAACCGTTATCAATTGTAACCCATTTATTAAAAAAACGATAAGATTAATAAACAGAAGATATTCTTGAACTATTTTTTTCACTTTGCCTTTGTGATGTTTGCATTAAGAAATAATATATAAATAATAACTGTAACCCAGTGTTTTTAAATATTGGTAGGTTTCTAAAAAATTTTCTTACCAAATTGAAAAGACGAGCAGTCGATAAGTCCATTGATATTTTGTCGTCAATATTATATATTATTTTCAGTTAATTAATTTTTAATTAAGGTTTTGGTTGAGATAAAAATGTCGTCATGAGCGGGATTCGAACCCACGATCTTCGGCTAAATACGCCGCTACTCTACCACTTGAGCTATCGTGACTTCGATCTACTCTCGTGACACTGACTCTTTTATCTCAACCAAAACCTTAATTAAAAATTAATTAATTTAAAAGAATTTATTTGGTCAATCGGACCACGAAACCTAATAGATTATTATCATATTTATATTCTATATGTTACATATATTATTATATATTTAATTTACATTTATTATATACATACATTATTTACATATATATTATTATATATTTTATTTACTATTGCTTATATTCTATATATTATTATGGTATCATTATTATCATATTTATCAATATTATATATTATTAAATCCATTATATTTAGCCGTCTGATTGACCAAATTACTTCTTTCAATTAATTAATCTTTTTACGTAAGGTATTGGTTGAAGTGAAAAAGTTAGTGTCAGGAGCGGGATTCGAACCCACGACCTTCGGCTCAATACGCCGCTGCTCTAACACTTGAGCTATCGTGATGATAAAAGTGGTTAGAGCAGCGGCGTATGGAGCGTAAGGTCTTGGGTTCGAATCCCGCTCGTGACACTAACTTTTTCATTTCAACCAATACCTTACATAAAGATTAATTAATTGAAAGAAGTTATTTGGTCAATCGGACCACGAAATATAATAGATTTTATTAAAATGTTCCATCTAAGTGAGTTTTCCAGTGGCAATACACTGTCGAAAAGCTTATAAAAGGCAATTCTACAAGGAAAAATTTGGCAGAAAAACCAAGCGTAAAACAATAACAAGTTTCAGAAATTCAGAGAGGATATAGAGATTTTCTGTTGTTTACTTCCAATTGTTTACATATTATAATTAAGCAGTTATTAATCCTCCACTTTTGTTTATAACTATTTATTTATAATGAGCTCCCCAATCCATTACACACTTTTTAATATACCTCCAAATGAACATGGAAACACGCGATTTTCGTGTAATATTCCTTTGCGAGTTTAAACCCGCTGAAAAGGTTAAAGAAAAGAAAAGGTTAAATTGAAGTTAAAATAAGTTAATTTGAAATAAAAAAACCGTTACTTTAAGTTAAAAACCGCCAATTTGACAAACAATAAAAACAAAAGTTCCTTCTATTAATTCGAGATTTTTTTAAACCAATAAGATAATTGGTCTAATTTATTTAGAAATCGTGAGATGCGGTCTGGTGTGATGTAGATTTCAGAAAAACATTTTCTTTATCGTGCCAACGTTTCGATCTTTATTGAGATCATCTTCAGGGCTCAAAGTGTTTGTCTTCTGTGTAATTGTGCCATTCTTGCGTGTCGAGTCGATTTAATTGGTCTAAAATAATTTGGAAGCAATAAAAAAATTTCAATTTTTAAACTTAAAAATGCCAGGCAAAAAATCTACCAATTGATTTTTTGTCTTTGTCTCGATAAAAGACAATTCTGCACTTTAAATTGGGAATATCAAATAGAGGTAAACACACTTAATCCTTAATACAAACAAGAGAGTTTTCAATTAGGCTCCTTCATTAGCTGTTGTTATCCCTCCATTTAGTTTTAATTCGGTTGGACGTTTCTCTTCAAATTTTCTCCCAAATCGGTCAAAATGGGGACGAATCAATACTGAAAACATGATCGGAAACGACCAGACTACAGATTCATCACTCCGCCGTCCTCATGGAGAAACTTCGTAAAACACTGGCAGGAAAAAAATTCCGCCCCATTGATTTTTTATCGTTTTCTCGACAAAAGAAAATTCTGCACTTAATTTATCTCATCCTTTTTACCAATAAATATTTGTTTATCCTGTTTTAAAATTAAATTAAATTAAATTAATTAATTTAATTAAATTGGGAATATCAATTAGTGGAAAACATACTTAATCCTTAATCTAAAACAAGAATAAAGTATTTTTCCATGCTTACTTTTGACTGAATTTAAAATGTTTATTCTGAATTCTGAAGCAATAAACTGTTTAGTTTTCATCTTTGTTTTCTTAATTTCAATTTTTAAACTTAAAAATGCAACTTAGTGCTGAGGATGTTGGGCGTGGTGTGGCTCTTATTGACGATGGACGTTCCATGAGGTATGCGGGTTATTGCCATCGGAGTTCCCCACGAAACTTGCGAACGCCGTTAGACATTTTCGACAAACTGGGTCATACCATCGAAAGAACGGTTCTGGACCCCTTAGGGTAATAAAACCACGGGATGACCGTTTTTTGAATTTGAGAATTTTGCGAAACAGGCACCTTACTGTTGTCAAAGCGATTCATCAGGTCCAGGAAGTTCGAGGTGTCCAAATTTCTGATCGCACTGCTCGAAGAAGACTAAATCAGTATGGACCGATGGCTTTCCGCCCGGTAAGAGGACCAGAACACACGGCATGCAAGGCTCGCGTTTGCTCGAGAACACAGCCATTGGTGTTCGGCCGATTGGTTTGCTGTACTTGTTTACAGATGAGTGTAGATTTGCTCGATGATCTTCAGATGGGCGTGAAAGAGTGTGGAGAAGGCGAAATGAAATAGGAAGCTTGTATATTGTATTTTTCCCAGAGCGAACCTTTTCAACGTAACTCGGTGATGGTGTGGGCAGAACTTCCAATGGAGAGTTGGTTGTTGTTCTGGAGGGTCTTTGACGGCCATTCGCTATGTGGATGAAATTTTGGAACAACATGCGTTGCCCATCCTCCACGAAATCAGCGACAACCCTATTCTAATGCGCGAAAATGCCCGTCCACATGTCGCTCACATAGTAAAAACGTACCTTCAACAGCATAACATCACGCTCTTATCCTGTCTAGCCCGTTCTCTAGACTGGACCCTCATCGAACATTTATGGGATAACCTCAAAAGAGCACGTCCATTACTCCCTGATACACTCCACCATCTTGAAAGGACTCTTCGTGAAGTATGGGCTAACCTCCAGCAAAGAGGCATTTCCAGACTGGTAGAAAGTGTGCCGAGGCGTCTTCTAGATGCAATTAACGCAATAGGAGGAAATACGAGGTATGGAAATGTTAATTAAAAAACCTAAAACAAAATTAAAACAAATTTTATCTGAACGTCTTTTTTTCATTTTCTTTAGCAATTTACTTTTTTAGACAAGGACTAAATTATTAAACATTAAAAAACGTGACACTTTGACTAATATATAAAAATATATACAAATCAAATGATATTACCAGTGGGCGGAAATTTTTGTCTGTCAGTGTAGTTCCTGTTTGCAGTGATGTGTACATAGATACAATATGATGTAATGGCCCAAAGAGTTGATATCCTTGCATGTTAGTCACGCGGAAATAAATAAAAATTATAATCGGAAAAGAACGCGCCATATTGCACTTTATGAAACGTGTTGGGATTTTTCTTTCAAAACTCTTTGCGTCCTATTCGTGCTGCATGTGGGGAGAGGACGGATACAAAAGGGGCAGTACATAAGACAAGTATTTTAGATTAAAAAATTAGTTCTTCATCGTAATTTACTAAATGTATCAAAATATCCGGTAGTTGTATAAAGGTCGATTAGGCAAAATATTAAGTCTTAGGATGATCAAAGACAGACCCACGACAGCAGACCATCTATGAACAGGGCCTTCCCCTGTTTATATCCTTGACCCAACACTGATGTCGGCGAAATGCCATAAGAGGTCAGACATACCAAAATGATCGGAAAATATGAGTCATGGAGTTGAGGTTGTAAACAGTAACAGATGAACAGCAAAGAGTAGCAGCAGTTGAATCAATAAAAAGATGAAACAATAGAGGACCAAGAGGCGAGCCTCGAGGTACACCCAAAGAGGCAGAGAATGTTTCCACCTTCTCAAAAGTCCAATCTTATCTTTATCACATTTTTTTATAACAGTAGGCTTTTTTTACAAATAAATTAATGTTAATAATAAGATTAAGGTATAATGAAAGCCAAAAGGAAATAAACTGGCAATGTGAGGTAAACGACGTTTTTCTATAAAATATTTAATCAGCATAATTATGCAAATGTTTCGGTTTTGTCAATGTTATGATATATAGATTTGTTTTTGTCTTTTTCGTAAAATCGCGATCCGACCCACTTGTGGGGCGGATTTCAGGGCGAGGGTGGAGGAGTTAAAAGGACGAGATTCGGATTTCAGGGATTTTTGATGACAGGCGTCGACACAAAGGCGGAAAACGTGCGTTCTGCTGCCAGGCCCAATTTCGTGGACGGATGATGAATCGTCAAAATCGGCGGATAGACGAAACGTAAAAAATGTATTTGGTAAAATGGTGGGCTTAAAATTGAAATGTTTTTAAAATCTTTTGTACGTCTAATAGTGCTATTTAAATATTAGAACGCAATTTCTCTTTTTTATATTTATTAGATGAAACTGTAAATCGGCGGATAGAGGATGAGTCCAAACCTGGACGGTTTCGTCGGGTTTGTTGTTCAAGGCCGTAAATAACGTTGTTGGTGAGGGCGGGGAGGCGAAGGAGAAAGGGAACGTTTGAATGTGAGGGGGGGGTGCTTGCGTACCGTGGGCGGCCTGGCGGGGGTGACCGTGCATCTGCGTCGCCCCTTCCACGTCGTCCCCCACCCCGTGTGAATGCGAACGACGTGCCCTGCCGGGTCGTCCGTCCGTGGCGTGTCAATCTGACTCAGTTCACAGCCACCCGTCTCCTTGTCCGGTGTCCGTCCGCCTCTCGCAGCCGACCGACAACGTTTCAGGATACCGATCGTTGCGGTCCCTGCCCCTGCCGCCACACCGACCATGAGCGCCGACATCAAAGAAGTCTTCAAGAACAACGAGATCATCCGCATCCTCAAGTACAAAATGGAGAAATCGAGGAGGGACCCGCTCGACGAGGAGCTTTACGGGCGAGTGCGGCGCAAGTTGACGTTCGGCGAGCCGGATCCCTTCCTTCAGTCCGTGGGTGCTGTACGACGCGAATTGGCCTTCATCGCCGAAAAAAACAGGACCAAGTGGAACTTCGATTTCGAGAAAGACCGCTCCGAAGACGGCCGTTACAGCTGGGAACCCGTCAAAAGGGCCAAAAACGGCTACCCCGTCCAAAAGCGTATTACCGGTGAGTGATATTCAATTAAATATATTCGACGCTTCCTTGTTTGTTTATGCGATTAGGGTTGCGTTAGGCACCGGCCGAGAGGGTTAGGCTTCGGCACCGTCGGCCGTGCGGGGGGAGCGGCACCTCCGGCCTCGCCTCTCCCCTCTTTTAAACTTTAAAAACCATCCACGGTTGCCGTCCTTTTTTCCAACTTAAGACCTTTATTTCCGTCTCGGCCCTGGTATTCAAAAAGTCAATTTAGTCGAAACGACCCAGTATACAAAAAATAAAGCGCACTGGGTTCGAAATCGCGAAACCTCCCAGAGGGAATTATGTATTATTGTTGTTGGAACATAACCCCCCCACCATTTTGCACATATCTTTGAACATCATTATTTAAGAAAAACAAAACAGCTTTTGTCAGGCGTGGGTGTTGTCAAAAAACAACCGTTTTTACTATCATAAACCCCAATCATAGCAAACGGTTCATTTTGGATGGACAAAAGTCCATGCTCTTTGTCACTGACAGCCCTAGGACGCGGTTTCATAAACTTCGGCCCGTCTGGTCTATCTGCTTCATTTACATCCATCTGTCAAAAAATATTGAAACAATCTATGAGAAACTACTTAACAACTTTTTTGTCGTCAAAATTGAAGAAAAAGAAAGTTATATTTAATTAAAAACTAATATATTACTTTTTTAAAATAAACAAGTAGCATTTCTTTAATTTACAATTTAAAGCGCCCCCTCTATGGAAAATACTCGTGTCTTTCTCATTCCTAAAAGCTCATAAACCTCCCAAGTTCATACAGACCTATCAGCTTTCTCCCTGCGATCTCCAAAAACACTCGAAAAGCTCCTTTTTTTAAAGCGCCCAATATCCATAGAAAATTCCCATCGATCCGACACGGTTTCAGAGGTGTCAGTAGTTCTGCTCTAGAGGACAGAGAGAGAGATTGGGTGCGTTCCTAGATGTAGCACTGGCAAGCTGGCACACATAGGAGGTCACATAGTTTGTCTTCTATACTACCAATACCATCATCACCGATACATACACAACTTGAATTTTGTCCAAGCTCCAACATCCAAGAACACCTTGAGCTCACTGAACACATTGAAGGCTGAATGTTCATAAATGTACTCAGGTTCGCATAGAAAAACTGTCTTGTCCTCTGTACCTCAACAACAAACAGACTTCCATTTAAGTCAAATACTTAGGACTATACTTTGACAGCTGAGGTGGAATCCCGAGACAAGAATTGAGAGATAACAGAACACCTCTAGGACCGTCAAAATTAAAGTAATCTTATCCAAGACTGTACTACGACCACTTTGGACGTAGGAGTGGAACTGGGGTTCCGCTGAGCCATCCGATGCTTTCAATCGGTCCTGAGACAAATTTCAAAGTTCCTTATTACATCACATCACTCACTATCCGCAATAACCTCAACATGCCTTTTGTCAACAAACTGTACCTCCTGGTTCCAAAAGTTCTACACCAATCTCTCAATCTACCCTAACCCTACTTGCTCGAGCATTCTTTACACTTTACCATCCCACGAACCCGCCTCGAGATCTCCTAGTCCCTTAATCCCTAATACTGAGTGCCAGCACTGGCTAATTTCTCATAGCATGTGTCCTCCAGGACTGGTGCAGCTCTGGCAATGTTAGTGCTAGTGTGATAAAACGGACTGATGTCATAATGTTCATTGAGTAAAATCTCATTCATTGAAAATTATTAGTTAATTTTTTATTGATTGAATCAAATGAATAGAAATGAGACTGTTTCAGTACTTGAACCACCTTATTTCTTAAAAAAAAAAATAATAATAATAAAAAACTAAATAGTATAGAATTGTGAATCGAAAGTTTAATTGGATTTTATTTCTCTGTTGCAGAATTCCTTGGTAAACGGAAAAATTTCCCTTTTCCGCCAGAGTCAAACTGTGAAGCCGAAAAGGAGAACGAAGAAGCAGTGGTGCCGACTCTGAAAAAAGGTCGATTGCCGACTGACGGAAGCTGTGTGGTGTATCCTTTGGATGAAGTCGAAGACTAAAATCAAGAATTACACCTGGGGGAGGGGAGGTGGTTGTCACCCTTTTAGGCGTTTTTATGTGCCATGGCTTTGAAGATGTATAAATGACTTTTTTTTTATAATTTTTAAAAAAATTTATTTAACGGGATTTCCCCCCAAAAAAGAACAGTTTTATAAACCACATGTGATTTGTTTTATTTTATTTTATTGATTTGTTTCATTTTATCAAATGGAAATTTAAAAATTACCAGAATTTTTTTTTTTGATCTCTTATATGTTTTCAAAGCCTATTATTGATGGAAGGAAAAGGACTTTTGAAGATGGACAAAAAAAAAAGCTAATGTACTATATTTTAAAAATCGTTATTTGTATAAATGCCATTTTATTATTATAGTATTACAAAACAAAATTATTTATATATTTAAATATTCTAATACATAAAAAATTGTATTAACTGTTAATCTGAGAGAGTATATTTTTATAATGAATTATTACTTTTGGTTTATTTTGCTTTCTTTTTTTTTTTCTCTGATCTCTTGGTGTTTACAGGTTTTACCTTAATTGATTTCTTTCTTTTAATGTATTTAATTGTACATTTATCAAATTATTTCATAACGCCCTGAGTACATACACTGTTGACACAGTTCCTGATTTTTTCTTTCATTCTTATAGAAACAAAGTTGTTTTCAAGTGTAATATTAAGTAGTAATATTTTATCTATTTATTCAGAATTATATTACATGAGTGTTGGTGAATTTGTAAAAAAAATGTTGATTTTACAAATTCAAACTGACGTTAAGTTCTCATAAACAGATCTCACACAAATCCGGGTCCAAAGATGTGTCCTTTTTTTTAAAAAACTAATTTTATTGTTTCTAATTTTTTTTAATAAGCCAAAGTTTTCAGAAAATGAAAGATTTTTAACCTCACACGAGTTTTTTTTACTTTTTAAATGGATTGTTTTAAGTCAATTTGTTGAAATATGTGGAACATCACATTGTTTAAATTTAATTTGAACACCATCCGTTTTCTTCTTTTTTGTATTATATAAACAAGCATCACTTCCTTCATTTTAAGGATATTTCTCATGTGTGAGGTGGAATTTATAAAATAAATTTTCTAAATGCTATTTCAAGAAATATTTCCATGATAAAAATATTTTATAGTTTTTATATTGTTGCTGTGATCTTTTATAAATATATTGATCTCAAATTGTATATTTTCTTTTCTTTTCAAATAAGGGTGTACCAGCTTTGAGCAAGCAATACCCTTTAAATCTGTTCTTTTTTTTTCATTTTGAGACTTTTAAGTCTTGTACATTGCTTTAACTGCTTGCTGGTTATACTGCTAAATACTGCAATGTGACAAATTTGTTCAAAATTTCGAATAATTACTATTTTGAAATAATTCGACTTATTTTTTTTTCTCCTTGTATATTTTGCAACAAACCGACATTGTACATTTAGCAGTAATTAATATGCGGAGGGAAAGCAATACTGTTATGACCAATTGTTTGTTGTACATTTTGTAAAAAAAAAAATAAATAAACTAATTCTAAATGTTTTCTGGCATAAAGTTGTCTGTTTAATTAAGAAAAAAAATATATATAATACAAAAGTACTAGTTCGTTTATTTCAAAAGGGGTATCTTGGGGAAAAGCAGCCCCTATTATACATGGCCTTTCACTACCTCCGGACCCTTCCCTCCTTCACTCACCCTCTGTAACGGTCAAAAACCATACATAGGAGAAAAATAAACCCCCTCACTTTTTTCCCTTTTTTACCTCCATTGGGAAACGCATCATGTGATAATGGTTTGTTCTTCACCAACGGTCCAAAGATCTTAGGGGCTTTAAATATGTAAAATTTAAAGGACAAGTTGGGGATTAAAACAGAAAATTGCCTATTGGCTATATACGGCAGTTAGACGGATCCTAGAACTACAATAACATGTGAAATAGTAACGTAGTCGAAAAAGTCCAAAAAATATTGGACAATAAATGTTAAAACCCTACACGGTGCAATAAAAATTTAACTCGCTCAAACTTCTATTGAGCATCATCAATAGCATCATGCAAACTTAAATACAACCCCAGATTAAGCAGTCATAATTGACCGCTGTAAATACCTTCGTTCTGATTTCATAAGTTAAGTGAGGCTCCAATTAAAAATGAATTTTGTAAAATTTGTCTTACACAAACGAAAAAAATGCCCAGACTTAGAAGGTAAGTAAGTGTTTCCAAATATACTTTCTAAGTCTGGGAATTTTTTTCGTTCGTGTAAGACAAATTTTACAAAATTCATTTTTAATTGGAGCCTCACTTAACTTATGAAATCAGAACGAAGGTATTTACAGCATGATTTTCTTATCAGTCAACAAAATTAAACACTGCTGTTGTTTTGGTGTTAATTTTGATCAGTAATGATTTTTACTGTTTTAGGTTTTCTCGTTCTTCTTTAATCCCAGTTGTGTTTATAAAGATCAATCTGTAATTTTCCATTAATAAATGTTAATTGTTAAATGCATTTTTTAGGTGTAAATAAAAATTTCTGTTCTGTTCTAGAAAAGATCGGTAAAATCGATCAATTATATTAAACAATATTTTTACCGTTTAGGGGTTAGTATTTAATTTCAATTAATTACACTTATCTAAGGTCTCGGTTGAAACGAAAAAGTTAGCGCCTCAAGCAGGATTCAGACCCACGGCTACATTAAGTCGAAGTTCGGGGGTTCGAATCCCGATCGTGACACCAACTTTTTCATCTCAACCAAGACCTTAGATAAAGGGTAATTAATTAATTGAAATAATTAATACGGTCAATTATGACTGCTTAATCTGGGTTAGTATTTAAGTTTGCATGATGCTATTGATGATGCCCAATAGAAGTTTGAGCGAGTTAAATTTTTATTGCACTGTGTAGGGTTTTAACATTTATTGCCCTATATTTTTTGGAATTTTTCGACTACGGCCTGCGGTGTATGGACATATATTGAACATCCTCTCGGAAGCTTTACGCCGTGTAAATAAATGAATAAATAAGGAGGCGTCCGCAAACTGATAAAAATGTACACCCTCAGCGATCTGTACGAAGCCTGATGCACTTTAAAAATAAGAGAGAGCCATGTATGAAACCTTGTGGTACTCCATACTTCATTGGGATCTAAGAAGACGTCTCCTCACTGAATTATGTTTTCTTGTGGCGACCACCCAGATAAGAGACAAAAAGATCGTAAACAACACTCCGAATCCGTTATTTTCCATGCGAGGTAATGGAAACTACGTCGAGAACGTTGGTCCAAGAATAGTTTATTCCATTAACGTACCAATTATTATTATTCTACTCAGAGCATCTGCCCAAAGTAATTTTCTAAACCTAAATCGATTTACAGATATAAATTCGATTTTTTTAAACAAATTCAAGCAATCTATTGTAGAGTACCCTTTCGATGACCTTGTCAAACACCGGCAGCAAAGCGATTGGTCTGTAATTGGCCATATCCGACGTCTCATTTTTTGAAAAGTGGTCAAATCTTCGCAATTTTTAGCTCTACTGACTAAATGCCTGTACAGAAGATTAGATTCACTATATCAACCAATGGGTCCGTCAGCTCCGATTTACATTCATGAAGAAATGTACTAATTGTCCATCAAGTCCTGCGGAGTGTCATTTTTTAAGAGTTTTAATAACACCATGAAGTTCCGACCGTGTGCAAGGGTAAAGAAAAATAAAGCATAGTTGCGCAAAATATTGATTTGAGACGAAAGAAGGTTTCTGTATAGATATTTAAGAATAATTTATTAAAAACAACCGAAATGTCTTTGAGGTTAGTTACTCGACTGCATCACCAACCATAATCTATATAGGTGTAGATTTACTTATTTTTTATAACCAATTTCTTTGCAGTCACTTGCCATATTGTTTTAATTTTGTTGCCTTACTACTTAAGTATTTGTAAAGCCGAAAAGCGTGTTCAAACCAACAATAATAGACAGACACGCGAAAGTGATCCGTGTCGATAAGTTCACCATCTTCCTTTGAGGTTAGGTGATGAGCCTCTATTTCTGTCGTTTACGATCATTTTGGTTACTTCATTGTTTTGATCTGACCTCTTATGACATTTCATCAACTTCAATGCAGAAACATCTCTTTTTGAAGCCTGTGGGAAAGTAAACTCGTTTGGGTTCATGTAGGTCTGTCCATCCTTTTTTTGGCCTGCCTGATCCACTGTGGCATATCAGGACTAAATATCGTACACAGATATTTAGGTATTTCGCATAATTTATTTGAATATTTTTTAACGATATTTGCGCCATATATCCAAGAATTAGCCAATTACCTTCGTTCGATGTTATTTGTCCTCTTCTGTTCTGGGAGAAGTTGTACTTGCTGAACTGTCTGTTCACAAGGAGGAATACACTCGCCTTTGCTGTGAAATGTGCTTGTGGACGCCCTCACAAGCAAACTAAATGACAGTGGAACTACACCCAAGGCTACAACATCCTATAAAGTCTCAACTGACTACGAAGGAGAAAAGAATTCAGAAGGAAATCAGATACAATATGGTATACAGATGGCTCCAAAATGATCGGGCTTATTCTGTACCCACAGAAAATAAAAGCAATCAAATAAGAGAAATACATCTCGGTCTTACAAGCTGAAATACATACCATCAAAGCTTGTTCATTAGAAAATCATATAAGAGAACTGTCAAACAATCTTCATAAGGTCGAATAGCCAAGTAGCTATTAAAGCATAAGCATGACAAAAAAAATTACATCAAAATTAGTCAGTGCATTCAAAATCTGGAGGAATGCAACAGCCTGATGATTTCATGGATACCAAGACACAAAGGAATTTCGGGTAACTAAAAGGCAGACACTGGCCGGAGGGTATGCCCTTAATACATTCTTTCAATAACAAAATCAATCACAGAATCATCACAAAATGGATCCAAAAAATCCAAAAGTGGATAAACTCTAAAGGCAGTAGACACAGTAAGTTAAAACAACCCTCAACAAGACT